AAATAAATCCTTCCTTAAGTTGTGCTTTTCAGGTCACAGGTATGAGAAAAGTAACCAGTCCACCAAATCTTTGGACTTTGCTGTGTGCTGAATTCTTCAACAGTTGATAGCTGTTTCATGTCTTCTATTTGCCCCTTCACATTTACCTGCTGCCCTTTCCTCTTTCTTAGCCACAGAGGCTGACTTATATGGAACATGTCGAAGGTTCCTTTGCTTTCTGGTTTCCCTTTGGATTTGTCTATAGTGAATGCCACTGGAAGGAAAATGGAGGTACAAGAGTCCTTCAGACCAGTTGTACCTCTTTATCTGAAATAACAGCTCCTATCAGGGGATGCAGTCCATACAACTCCAGGTTCTGATAACTACTCCTTGCTCTTGAGCCTTCAGACCTATAGATGAAAGTTCCCTGGTTTTGGCTTCAAGTACTGTCTTCTCCCTTCTGTTTTCCCTGTACTCTTCCCACACTTTCATAAATAACCTCCTTATAAGGCTCTTTTTCTTGTTGTTGGTTTTTGTTTGTTTGTTTGTTTGAGACAGAGTTTTTCTGCTAAAGCTCTTCTTAGTTTGCTGTTTGAGTGTGCCATTTGTTTCCTTCTAAGACCCTCTCTGACTGATAGAGTCTGATGCCCTGGATCTTCTGCTTCTAGATTGCCAAGCTTAGATACTGTTCATTTTTATTTGCTTCCATCAGTCTTGAGTCCTGAATCCCCGTGTAGCTGATGTGGATAGAGCCCCACCCACAGCAGTCCACAGTGGACACATGATATAACTGAGGAATGAAACTTCTCTGTGTCATCACTGAGATTTGGGGGATTTCAATACTGAAGTACAGAGCAGCCCATGCATTGCAGAGTTTGTTTTCTTACCCTTAACTGAGAGAAATGGTAATATTAGCCTCCTCAGAGGGTTTTATAAGAACTGAATTAAATTACAAAATTCTTGGCATGGTATCTGCTTTATGGTAAGTCATCAGCATTCATGATTATTACTGTTAATTTTTCTCCAACAGCTGGATTTTTTTTAAAAAAAGCAATTCTTATATACTATATAATGGTAAAGTACTAGAGTCAAAGTTTTGCATGAGGAGCCATAAATGTAGTTCATGTAATAAGTTAACACAGAACACAACTTTTTAAAAGTTCTATCCCTAAAGATTTCCCTATTGTGTAACCTGTTGGATCAGGTTGAATGGAAGAAATTGACTTTGTGTTTTGAGATAACATCAGTGTTGTAAGAACATGTCCTCTAAGAAGCATTGCTGGCAGGCATGTAGCCTGTTCCTACTAGCTTATGCCATGCATGATACAGAGGATATTCTTCAAATCTAAATTAGTTGTTTATTTTTTGTAAATGAATTAAAATTTTTGAAAAGGAAAACATGTTGGAGGGCATGTCACTTTGAGATGTCCTTTAGTCCCTAACAAGAATAGAGAAAGCAGGACAGCAAAAGAAAAAACACCCATAAAGGAAATAACAGACTATTCCAGCAGGAGCAGTGAGGCTTGGATACAAAAATAGCACCTCTGCAAAGGAAAAGAGGGGGTGCTGATCATATTGACTGCTATGAAACCCAGAAATTTCCCTCCAGTGTTTACACACTAAAGTAAGGATCCCCACTTGGAATAAATATCATTAGCCTATATGGTGACACTTGAAACTTGAGAGGGACATTTAATGTTCAGATTTACTGCTGAGTACAAGGAGACTGAAGGAGGGCAGAGGCTGTGCGAGTGATCTAGGTTATGGGGGCTCTCAGAAATACCGGGAAAATGAACATCAAGGTGATGCGGTGGGTAAAGGCTCTTGTACAAGTTTAGCAACCTGAGTTCAAAACCTGGAATCCTTGTAAAGGTGGAAGGGGAGAACTGACTCCATAAAATTGCCTTCCAACCTCCACATATTTGTGTGACACACAATAATAGTAATTTTTTGAGACAGAGTCGTTACTATGTAGTCTTGGCTGGCCTGAAACTCATTATATAGACCAGGTTGGCTTCTAACCCACAGAGGTCCACCTGCCTCTGCCTCTCAAGTGCTGGGATTAACGACATGTGACACTATACCCAACTAATAATACTTAAAAAAGACCCAGAAAAGATATTCCTGGAAGAATTGATCCATCCCCCAAAGAGGAACTGCTAGGACTTGATTGACAGGTCATTAAGAGGAAGACAGATTAAATTCTAGTTGGAGTGGGATGGAAGATGCTAGAGTCAGTGGATCTCAGAAAGTATTGACAAAGTGGCCATATTTAGCAGTTCCAGGCAAAACTAGATTTATTAGTTGTTTGTAGTTGCTGTGAGACAATTCCATGGCTGAAGGTAAAATAAGAAAGACAGAGTTTATTTTAGTGCATGATTCTAGAGTGATAGAGTCCGTTGATGGTGGGGAATGCATGACATGATGGTAGGAGCAGGAAGCTAGATAATCACATTTTCATATACACACAGGAAGTTGAGGGAGGAAGTGGAACAAGCCTGCAAACCCTCAAAGCTTGCTGCCTCCAGTGACATACTTCCAGCAAGGTTCCACCTCCTAAAGGTCTCATAACCTCTCCCAAACCACCAGCTGGGTACTAAGTATTTAAATACATGAGCTTATGGAAGATATTCTAAATCAAATACTGCATCAGAAAAAGGAGTCTTTTTCTACCTTGATACACCTTCATTAAGTATAAACAACACAATCAAGTCGAGGTTGAACAGAATGTAAGCATAAGGAAAAATGAAGTTAACCCCTTGAATAAGAAAGCTATAATAATGAGGTCAGACTAGGAAAATATGCCTCCTTCCCAAAGGATGTAACTTTCTTCATATTCCAAAAGATGCTAAGGTAAATTAAGAAAGTGATAGACAACCTGTTGTAGTGGTGCATGTCTTTATCCCAGCACTTGGGAGACAGGGGCAGGTAGATTTCTGTGAGTTCAAGGTCAGTCAGGTCTACACAGTGAAACCCTATCTCAAGGTAATGATGATGATGATGATGATGATAATAAAATAAAGGCCAGGAGGTAGTGGTACACACCTTTAATCCCAGCACTCAGGAAGCAGACTCAAGTAGATCTCTGTGATTTTGAGGACAGCCTGGTCTACAGGGTGAGTTCCAGGATAGCCAGGGCTACACAGAGAAACCCTCTCTGGGATTCCAAAAGAAAAAAGAAAGAATGTGATAGGCATTACAAAAGAGCTGTATATGACCCAGGCTTGGAAAGTTCCAACACTAGAGAACTAAATCATAAGGCACCTTGAAAAAAGAGCTCACAGAAGGGGAGGGGGAGGAACATAGCAGAGTGAAAGAGGTATTTTTTTAAGTCCATTTTCTTTAAAATGGGCAGAATGAGATGATAGTGTCAGAGAGTGTATATTTGGGTTATTAAACTATAAAGAAAGGAAAAAAGGTCACTATAAAATTCACACAGTGGTTATTTTTGAGTGAAGGGGGCTTTAGATTGGGATGGCACATGTGCATGAAGGGGGCTGGCAAATTCTTGAATTGGTTGGTGGTAAGAAAATTGACTTGCTTATAATTGCTCACTAAACTTAGTATTTGGTTTGGTGTTCTAATTCCATAAGTAGTTATACTTTTGGATACAAATACCAGAAAAAACCTGGTTGTTACCATCTTAAACAAAAATAGATGTTTATCTTGAATTCCCACCTGTGGTGTGGTACCATGACTTCTGTCCTAGCCGGTCATCTAGGACCTTCAGTGGTGCCTCTGCTGCCTTGTGGAGGTAAGCTGGTTGCATGTGCCTGGCCTCTCTCTCTATCCTCTTCTGCAGATAGGGCCCAGGGATATGGCTAACTATCTTGTGGTACACAGGTCAACCCCCACAGAAAAGCCATTATCTAGTCCTAAACACCAGTAAAGCTAAAGTTCAGAAACCATATTCTAGCAGTAAGTCTCAGTGCGTATGGTCTGGGAGTACTTGGGGGTCCCCCAAACCCTTCCAGGGGCCCATCAGGTCAAAACTGATTTCATAATAACAACAATACCTTATTTGTCTTTTTTGCTCTCGTCTCTTCCACATGTACAGTGGGGTCTTCCAGAGGCTGCATAAGAACATGGTATTATCTGTCCCTTAGATATAGAAACAATTGTGAGAAACATCTGCCTTTTGTTAATCCAAGAGTTTAAAGGGATTTATAAAAATGTAGAACAATGTCTTCCTTTTCAGGGTTTTATTTCAGAAATTGTAGTTTTTTACTAAATATTTCATGTTAGTACATTAAAAGTTAGTTATTATTTTAAATACACAAATACTTATTTTTCTGTTGTGTTCAATAAAATATATATCAGTATTAGGAGCACAAGTCTTAGAATATAAAGGAGTTTAGAGGTTAAAAGTTTCAGAAATACTGATCCAGAGAATCATTGGTTTTTAAATGCTTCAGAAATGTAAAAATAGGGAGAAGTGTAAATATGAACTGGGCTTGGCAATGCTTGTCTGTAATCCCAACATTCAGGGGACTGAGGCAGGAGGACTGTGAGTTGTGGGCAGCCTGGGCTATATAAGAGACCCTTTCTTAGTTATTTATTCCCTAACAAGTATAATTACAGGTAATTTGTCACGGACAAAGCCTTTATCAGTCTTTTCTGCACCCCAACTCTGTGCTGGGTTCTGAGAACACTGGGGTCAAAAAAATAGGATTTCTATCTTTAAAAATTTGCCAACCCACAAAAAGAGACAAATCATATAAGTAGCCCCCCCCTCACCCCCCCCAATTTTCTATACAAGGTATTTTCAGTATATGGTGGCATTAGGGCAGATAGCAGTGTAAGTAGGTGCAGGGTCATCAGACTCAATGATCACATCAAACCTCATCTAGATTAGAAGCTTATCATTTTCCCTTTTATCATTTACTAGACAGACCATCTGTCCTTGAATTTGCTAAGCCACCTTGTCACACCTAATATGCAAATAGCCTCTATAAATCTGGAATCGGTGGTTTAAGGGCAGAAGCCAAAACTAATTTCTGTGCTTTGGTCCTACATTTCAGTGACTGTGTTGGCAATCTTTAATGAACTGCATGCAGATGTGGATCTTTATGCTCTTCTGTTTGGAGAGAGTGTCCTGAATGATGCTGTTGCCATTGTACTATCCTCGTAAGTAACTGTTTCTGCAGGGGGGTTGGATAATGTTTCTGGCTTTGTCCTTCAGCAGAATTCAGGATGCTGATACCAGCACAGCATGGTGGCTGCAGCTTAAATTAAATGTATTTGCTCTGGGCAGTGCTTGGTAGACTATATGTTTGTTGATATTATCAGTTACAGTGAGCCTCCTTTTCCTAGAGATACAGTTTAAGACCCCTAGTGGATGCTTGAAACCATACTGAACCTTGTTTATGATTTTCACATACATACAACTACATATCTATAATAAAGTTCAGTATATAAATTAGACACGTAGAAAGTTAGCAATAACTAACAATAAAGTATAACAATTAAAATAATGTTTTAAGTGTAATAAAATTATGCAACAAGCTAGCTCTTTGTCTCAAATTATTATTGTACTATTCACTAACTTGTAACATTTTATGGCTTTTCTTTGGCAGATCCAAATTTTCAGCAACATTATTTTTTTTCCTTGGAAATATTATAAAGTAAAATAAAGGTTGTTTGAACATAAGTGCTCTAGTCTGATAACCTCAATGGTTTCTAAGGGACTAATAGTCAAGTAGCATATACCATGTGAATACATTAGTCAAAGTAGTGATTCATGTCATGGACAGGATCCAGCTGGATGGTTTGAGATTTCATCATGCTGTTGAGAACAATATACAATAGACAATTTATAAATAGTTTATTTCTAGATTTTTCTACTTAATATTTTTAGATTGAGGTTGACCTCAGGTAACTAAAACCATAGAAAGTGAAATAGTCAAGGAGGGGGCTGTTTAGTGTGTCATGGTATAAAACAAGGGTGGTCTTTTTTTTAAAAAAAACAAAAACAAAAACAAAAACAAAACTTTCTCTCTCTTTTTAAACTCCAGGTCTATTGTTGCCTATCAGCCAGCAGGACTAAATACTCACACTTTCGACGCTGCTGCCTTTTTTAAGTCAGTTGGCATTTTTCTAGGTATATTTAGTGGCTCTTTTACCATGGGAGCTGTAACTGGTGTTGTGACTGCTCTAATATCCTTTTTTTAAGTTTTGGCGCCTGCCTGGATACATGTATATATGATATTATGTTTGGAAAGAAAGAGTTCTTGGTTCCTCCTTTCAGATCAGAATCTTAAATTGGTTGTTCTCTTGAAATGTGGTACTTCCTCAGCTGGGTCAGGTACAGTGATTGGGCCCCTAAGTAAGAATCTGAGAAAAAGACTGGGAAATTGGACTTACAAAAGAAGAAGTAATGAAATGGGTGTGGGGATATGTTGGGGTGTCTGAAGTGGGATGTAGGGAGTTGGGGTGCATATGATCAAATACATTGTTAAAGAATAAGTAAAACAAATTCTGTCAAATGAGAATATGAAAAAGGAAGGAAATAAATCAATGAAACATAAAATATACTAAATAAAATTTTAAAAATGGTGAGTTCAACTCTAGATTTTGCATTGTCCTTACTGTTGCTGCTTCTCTCCCTTTCTTATATATAGCCCAGTTGGAACACTAATTATAGGGGATGAAGAGACTGAGGAACCCAGAGGAGGCTTGCAGTCAGTGACCACTGCTCAGGCAGCACTTTAGCTTCAGTCTACTGGTGCTATGTGCTGTTGAGGGACTATGAGCATTAAGGCAGCCATAACTAACCCGGAGCCATTGGTGGGAATTACTGGACTTTCCATTGTGCCTTCCATGAGGAAAGGATGGTCTGATATTTAGTTTAAAATAACCAAACAAAAAGAGGAAAACATGGAAAGAGCTGGCAGTCCCTCTACATATGTGCTGAATCCTCCATCACAGTACCCTCTTTGATTGGCATTACTAATGAATTTAATACAGACCACATTCATTTTATGTGTAACCAGTATACCCAGTATAAATAATATGGAAAATTATTAGTGAGTTTTTTTTTGCTATTCGATTTCTGTTCTAGTCTTTGAGATATCTATCTTTTGCTCTTTGAAAATCTCAGCTATGCCTAACTTCATTTTAAATGTTGAGAAGCCAAAAGTAGCTAGCAGCTACTGTGTCAGACAGCACAAATCAAGATAGCTTTGTTTAAAGGCCCTAGTACTGAGGGGTTAATTGCTCAGTGAACTTTTTTGTGAGTTGGATCTATGTTGATGGTGTATTGAATGGCAGTGGTGGGAGGAAGATTCCCTGTGTTCTCAAAAGGAGACCCCAGCACTTCGTTGCTGTTCCAGGAGTTATAGATTTCTTGTTTTTCCTGTCCCATACATGGGTCAGGCCTTAATGATCCATGGGGACCAGAGCCTTAAGAGCCTGTCTTCCCAGGCCTGCCTAAGCCTTCCCAGCCCTAAAAGAACTAACCTGTCAGTCAAGCCTGCAGCCAGAGATTTATTCATAGAATCACAGTAATTCATTTACTATACAATTCACCCATTTAGAGCATGCAGTTGAATTGCTTTGTATTCCTTATGTTATTAATTTTTAAAATCATAATATAATAAAATTTGCCTCAGTACACAATTTAAAATTAGTAAGTACAGGAACCAATAAGATGGCTCAACAGGTAAGTATTTTTACCACCAAGCCTGATGACCTGAGCTTGATGGGTTCCCTAGAACCCACATGGTAGAAGAAAACTACTCCCTTACAAGTTGTCCTTTGACCTTCATATGCTTGCTTAGCAGGCACATGTGTAACACACACACACACACACACACACACACACACACACACACACACACCTCCATTTTAAGATATTAAATACATTCATAGTGTTGTTTAACCATTCCTACTACCTGTTCCCAGAATGCTATTCCTTATCTCAGACAGACACTCTGTACCAATTCAACAACAACTCTGCACTCCAGCTCTGGCTCTCGTAACCGTAACCTGTATTCTACTGTAAAGTTTCTTTTATTTTGTGTGGTGGTGGAGTGATCAAACCCAGGACTACAAACATGGTAGGCAAGCATTTACCACCGAGCTATACCACCAGCCCCTGGAAAGCTTTTTTTTTTTTTTTTTTAATTTTTGTTACTTGAAAATTGGAGTTCGGGGCTGGAGAGATGGCTCAGTGGTTATGAGCACTGGCTGCTCTTCAGAGGACCCAGGTTCAATTCCCAGCACCCACGTAGCAGCTCACAACTGTCTGTAATCCCATTTCTAGGGGATCTGAAACCCTTACACAGACATACATATAAGCAGAACACTAATGTACATACAATAAAAATAAATAGTTGAAAGAAAGAAAGAAAATTGAGCTGTGTGTGGTGGTGCATACTTTTAATCCCCACACTTGGGAGGTAGAGGCTGGTGAATCTCTGTGAGTTTGAGTCCAGCCTGATCTACGTAGTGAGTTCCAGGATATCCAAGGCTACATTAAAAAAAAAAAAAACAACCCATGTCTCAAAAAGGAAGAAAGAAACAACCAAGAAAGCATGATAAAAAGGAAGAAAGAAACAACCAAGAAAGCATGGTAAAAAGGAAGAAAGAAACAACAAAGAGTGGTAGAGTACCAGTCTAGCATGTTCAGGGCTCTTAAGTTCCGTCCAGATACTATGACATTTCAAAGAGGGATAAGACCACCCCCCAAGGAGGTGTAGGGAATGAATGGCCCTTAGAGAGGGGCTCGGGTTAAAAGAATAGGGATCTCAAGTGTCCCTGCTGCCCATGCCCAGAGCTGCTGTCCTTAACCTGGTGCTGACGTGACCAAGTTTACTAAGCTGCACTGCTTCCCCCTGCTGGAGACGGCGCTTTTCTTCCTGATGTCCTGGAGCACATTTCTTTTGGCTGAAGCCTGTGGATTTACAGGTAGGTTTACTTCTGGGCTCAGCAGGGCCTGTAAGAGAGGAAGGGAAGAAGGGAGGAGTAAGGGAGGGGGCGTTATGCAAGGCTCACCTGCCATAAATTTTCGTGTCAGTCGAATTTTTTTTTCTTGCCTCTTCTTTCCCACTTATTTTTAGAAACTCTTTTGACAGGTGTTGTAGCTGTCCTTTTCTGTGGGATTACACAAGCTCATTACACATATAACAATCTGTCAGTAGAATCGAGAAGTCGAAGCAAGCAGGTAAGAGAGGCCCTTGAGCCTGCTGGGCTGCCAGGTATCACAGCAAGAGGTGTGCAGAGCTCACAGCCTCCTCTTCCCTTCTTCATGCAGCTTTTTGAGGTGTTACACTTTTTGGCAGAGAACTTCATCTTCTCCTATATGGGCCTGGCGCTGTTCACCTTCCAGAAGCATGTTTTCAGCCCAGTTTTCATCATTGGTGCTTTTGTATCCTTTTCTTATTCCACATTGGAGACTGAGAGGTGACCTCTGCTGGGAAAGCTGTATAACCACTAAGAATAATCATTTGATTATTGTCTCTGTTTTGAATGGGTAACTGGGTCAGCTCTAGTTCAGGATATTTGCGGGGAAGCTTCTTAAAGCTTGATTTCCAGGACTGACATTTTTCTGGTATTTTCTGTTTTAAGCTAGTGCTTGATGGGCTATTATTTGTTTTGTAGAACTCTGTCCTGAGTAGATCTAAAGGTCAGTAACCATGTCAGTCCCCAGAATTATTTTTGACATGCCATTGCCATGTCAACTGTAACACAGGAAGTTCCCTGATTTTAATGACTAGAAGGTTCCAATCCTCTCTCTCTCTCAACTGCATAGTCCAGCTTGGCCAGCCACACCCCATGCCACCCTTGTGTGTGTGTGGACAGTGACCATGCTTTCACTCAGGCTGCGCTGCTGCTGTGGGTTATGCTGGCAGAGACTCCTTTGATTTTTCTAAAACAAGAAGGAAGGGGGTTTGGAAGGAGGGGGATAGGAGAGAAAAGGAACAGATAAGATTAGAGGGAAGGAAGAAGAAAGGAGAAGAAAAGACAAAATACCTAGTTCTTTGACTTCAGCTATTGGGGATACAGTATTTGGAAAGGCGAAACTTTCGGTGCTTGGCTTAGAAAGGATGGATGTGAATGCCTAGCAGTGGCTCAGTAGCTGAGGGTTTGGCTCACTTGGTCTTAGATACTATTGTTTTTTATTAAAGTAAACTTTTATGACCCTAGATTTCAAGATCCTATCCCTATTGCTGGACATTTGCTTGTCTTTTTTTGTTGTTTGTTTGTTTGTTTTGTTTTGTTTTGCCTTTTTGAGACCTCATGGGAATACTTAACTCTTAAAATGTTATCTAAAAAGAGTATTTTTCTCTTCTGGGATTTTTGTTTCATGTGCAAGAATGTAGGGGGCTACCCCTTCTTAGCTGCTAGATAGTGACAGTACTGGAATCCTACCTAGTTCCTACTAGTGGCTTCACACATTCACTAGAGGAACAGCTTAGAATCTGTTGGATTAGGTTTCCTTCACTCAAACTTAGCATATTGCTCTGATTTGTATTTCCTGCACAGCATACTGGAAGAGATAGTGGAAGGAAGGCCTTGTTTATAGAACAGGGCCTGTTGGCTGGGTGAGCCACATCCTCTGGGAATCCTAAAAGGTTGCTGACCACTTAAGGATTTTTCTTTCACCTCTGAGATAGAATATGCATTACAAGGACTACCCATTTCCTTTTTTAAAAAACAAAATCAAACAAGGAAAGGAAGAAAGACAAAAAGAGCAGGAAAACAGTTTACACTTTACCCTGGAGGAGGTAGAAGATAGTTTGGCCCTGGTTTCTGTCTGAAACAGCTGTGTCTCCTGCAGCTGGTGCATTGCTTGGCGGAAGCTCTCTGTTTGCTGGCTCCTGCCTGAGTTTCCTTTTCTGACCAGGGCTCTCTGTTGTGCAGCTCTCTCTGTTGGGTGCTGTTTAAACTTGGCAAGGGAAAGATGACTGGTTTCCCTGAATTCTTTGCTTTTCACAGTAGAGTTCCTTTTTCACATTCATCCTTTTCTACTTCTTAATCCCCAAAGGACATTTAAGCTACATAGGCAGAGACTTTCTCTGAGTTCATTTGTGCGAGTGAATGTCTGTTTGTGGTAAGACTACTGAAGGTTTCTTCACTTCTATTTTTGGGTGCTCCCTGGGCATTGAAGACCTTAATGTTTTCTTGCAAATGAAGCTTCCTGGCTTTTTCTCAGCAAAGTTTCTACAGTTTCACTCCAGAATTATTTTTCTTTCTTGTCGTTTTCCTTCCAGTGGAGCCCAACATAGTGTGTGTGTGTTGTTCAGTCCCCACTCTTGCTATGGTACTTTAGATTACTTCTGGATCAGTTTTAGAGAAATCAAGGAATCTGTCAATACCAGTTCAAAAGCTACAACAATGTGTTTATAAGCTGCAAATTAATGAACTAAGAAGTGGAAAGTTGACCAAATGACTCCCATTTTGTTGCTGGGAGATTGTTCCACGGGGAATCCAGGCATTCTGACTTCTTTGGGCAGCTGCGGGCATCACAGCATTCCTAAAATTCTGTAGTCAACCAGAGTGTTTTGAAGTGCCATTCTGGAAACTTATTGGGTCCTTAACCTCACCTGGTGGTCAGGTTGCCATCTTCTTGGGTAGAGCTGCACATATCTACCCACTCTCCTTCTTCCTCAACTTGGGCAGAAGGCATAAGATTGGCTGGAATTTTCAACACATGATGATGTTTTCAGGTAATACATACATATATATATATATATATATAAAGGAAATATATATAAAGAATAAATTTTATTTAATAAATAATGATTATATGACTAAAATATAATCAACTAGGCTTACAGCACACATCTGTAATCACAAACTAGGAAGGGGGAGGCAAAAGGATCAGGAGTTCAAGGCCATGCTTGGATGCATATTGAGTTTGAGGCCAGCCTGGGCTAAATAAGACCCTGTCTCAAAAATTCTGTTATAGGTCAACCTATCTTTTTACTTTTCCATGAGGTACTCCCTCCTTTGCTAAGAAAAATACTGCCCTGTTTTTCACAAATGTGCATTTGAACATATTCATACTCAGCCAACGTGTCTGTTGACTGTGTGGTATTTAGATAGAAGACTTAGAGAGCTTGTTATTATGCAAATTTCTTTTTCTTTTAGCTCACTAGCAGGAGAATCATTTAAATAGTAAGAGTGGTTAGTACTCTAAAATGTGCTGTACAAAGTGGTGCTGTGTTTTTCTTCTCATGCTGGGAATTCTGTGAAAGCCAGTTCCAAAGGGAAGAAGTGATAAGTAAAATATCCCCCGGTAGTGGGTAATTCCACTAATGCAATAAGCCAATCAAGCCAAATTAAAGTCCAGGTTTAATCTGAGCAAAGCATTCAGGGGAAGAGGGGAAATCATGAGGCTGCTCCCAAGGAGGGGCCCTCTGGGGGATGAGCAGCTGCTTGGCAGGCTTTCTTTGGCCAGGGTCTGGAATGGGAGTAGCTGGCTGAGCCCCCAGCAGAACATCTGGGCAGGGCTCGAAATGGGGCCTGAGCTAGAGACTCCCAACTAGAAGAAGATCATCCATACTTTTAAGGAGCTTCTACCTGGGTTAAGGAGCCAGGCTCTGAAGCATGAGGCTAGAGTTTTATTATCCCCACAGTGGCAGTGCAATTTGAGGAATTGTCATTAGGTTCCCTCATTAACAGAGATTTCCCTGTTTGGTCCCCACAGGCCTGAGGGGAGCGATGGCATTTGCACTTGCCATCCGTGACACGGCATCCTATGCTCGCCAGATGATGTTCACAACCACACTGCTCATTGTCTTCTTCACTGTATGGGTCATCGGTGGAGGCACCACGCCCATGTTGTCATGGCTCAATATAAGGTCAGTTTGGAACCAAGCCAATTTTGTGTCTAAATGTGTCAGTTGTCACATTTCTTGAGAATGCTCAATGTGCTGTGCAGGCTGTGCTCGTGAAAGGTTTTCATTCTTTTGGTTTAAGCAGTATGTGTGTGTGCATTTTAGATTTTTTTTAAATTAAAATTTGGACTATTGAGTTTTTTAGGATATAAAATTATCAATGAATTCTAAAAAAAACCAATTTAAAATAAAATTATCAATATACACAGGAAACTAGGATGAGCTGGCTCTTACTAGGGCAGAAGAAGCTCCTTAGCCAGAAATCAAAAGAGGCAAATAGAGTTTTGCTTTCTTAGGAATTTGTATGCCATGTCCCTTCTTTCTTCTGTGTAAAAAAGAGATGGTATTTTCTATGTAACCCTCATCTGTTATAGCTCCATGACATCTTTTGTGTGTGGTCTGTAGCTCTGCCAGGATAGAGGATTGTTGACCTGAGTTTGATTTTTTTATGTTTCCTTGATCCTCCTGCTTCTACTACTCAAGCATTGGAATTATAGGCATGTGTCCTCACACCCAGACTGTCTTAGTTAGGGTTTCTATTGCTGTAAAGAGACATCATGACCACAGAAATTCTAATTAAGGAAAACATTTAATTGGCTTGCTTACAGTTTCAGATGTCTAATCCATTATCAACATGCCACCATGCATGGTACCATTCAGGTAGACATAGTGCTAGAGAAAGAGCTGAGAGTAGAGAGGGGCTGCATCTTGATCGCTCAGGCACCAGAAAGTGGTCTGGCACACTGGGCATGGCTTGAGCATATATAAGACCTCAAAACCCACTCCCATAGTGACACACTTCCTCCAACAAGGCCATACCTACTCCAGTAAAGCCACACTTCCTAATAGTGACATTCCCTATGAGCTTATGGAGGCCAATTACATTCAAACTACCACAGACTCAGGAATTTTATTTTGTAAAGAACATTTGGATTTTATACTGTGATTTACAACACCATATAGTCAAAAAGGCATTGACTGGAGCAGGAGTCCAGATACCCATAGCCCAGTAATGACTGATCTCTGACCCCTCATGTCCTTGAGCTCCAGTTTTCCTCAGATTAAATGAAGCCTTATGCCAGAGTACTTCCAGGGCCTTCCACATCCAAGTGTTAAACTCTGCCTCTGTATTCTGTGTCACTGGAGGTTTTCTGGCCACCTGTTGTAGTTTCATAGACATGCACAGGGTGATTGCGACCCATCAAGGAGGCTCCTGGGTAATGTAAATGCCTGAAGAGTCACTCTCCAAAGGGCCACAAGGGGGCAGTATATCTTTATTGGTCTTTAGTTTATTTTCCCTCTAGACTGTAGAATGCCAAAGACAGTTAGAGCTCTTACACACTTCAGAGGAGGGAAACAGGATTTGAGAGACTAGCCTCTTCTACCTGAGGCTTTTATACTGATGGTAGGAAGGGATTCCTGGGTTTGGCCACTGCCAGTTATGCCATTTCTGAGCTAGTATGTCTCAGACTGCAGATCAAGGCAGGGGCTTCTTGGTGACAATCAGGGTCCTCACTCATGCTTGCATTGCAGGTGCCATTTGCATTTCCATGCATATATATTAAGATATGGTTCTCACAACATTCCCATAGTTCAGATAATACCACAATCTCTATTTTAGAGCTGGAGAAATGAGACACAGAGCAATAGTTTTGCTCTGGATCACAGAGTTTTAAGAAGATGAGGTGGGATTGGAATTCAGGAAATCTTGCGAAGGCTTGTCCACTGTGCCATCTATCTGTAAGAAGGGTTGTGGTGCTAAAGACTGATTTCCTCATAAAATTTGTAGTGTTTAGAATTTCAACTTTCTAGCATTAATACTAAGGGTTGGATTAAAAAACACAGTCCATCCTTGGGAGTATAAACCTGAAGAAAGAAATTATAGTCATGTGGCATTCAAGTTGAGACATCAGATGATACTGTCTTTGTTCTTTGTAGTAGCATGAGGATAAGACAGGTGGTTGATCCTGTGTACGATCGAGAGTCTTTGCATTCAGTGACCTGTGAAGTTACTTTCTGACAGACTCAGATTTTTGGAATAGGGGTGTTCATCTTATACAGAGAATTGTTAGACTGCTAATAAACAAAATTTTGTAACTTCTTCAGACTCCTTGATATTCGTATTTATCATGGGCTTTTGAAATATTGAACAGTACTATATAGCTTACCATGAATTTTTGGAAATTTTGAAGTCTATTATGATTTATTTCTCATTCCATTCATAAAAATTCACTTTATGTATTCAGAAAATATTCACAATTATGCCTAATTTTATGAGTAATTTAAAGCAGCTCCCTAAATGCATAAAAGTTCCAGGCTTCTCATTATTTTTTGCTATTCTTAGGAACTGTAGTAAGTTGCATAAGAACATAGACTTCAAAGATGCATTAAAAACTGTAACCCACCATCATGTAACTAAGAACAAAGGCATATCTGGCTTTTTAATTGTGATGCTAGTGATAGAACTCAAGGCTTCAAGCATGCTAGGCAATTGCTGTACCAGTGAGACACATCCTCATTGTCTAACCTCTTTAATCCTTTCCTTACCTACAGAACACTTACAACATCACAGTATATGCACAACTATATAATTGGTTGTTTGAAAATGTTGTTCCAAGACTCCCTGTGGATATTAAACTCTGCAGATGCTCAAGGCCATTATAAAAGTGGGGTAGTGTTTGTCCAGAACCCATGCCCATCATCTTAAATACTTTAAATGGTTTCTAAAAGCCTTTGCTACTTCCTACAATGTAGATACTATGCCAACAACTGTAGTGCCATATTGTTTGGGGAGTCATGACAAGAAAAAAGGTCTATATACTCAGTACAGAAGCAGTTTGGGGGATATTTTTAATCTGAGATTGATGGAATTCCCACACACAGAGCTTGTACATGTGGAGGGCCAACTGAGTACACAAAGCAAAGAGGGCATCACCCTGGACACAGTGAGTGATCAGAAAAGGACTCCTCAGGCAAGAACTGTTGGCTATCAGGCAACTAATAAACAAACTTTTGTAATGTTCTCAGACTCTGTGATATTTGTATTTATCATGTACTTTTGAAAATGTTGAATAATATTATATAACTTGTCAGGAGTTTCTGAAAACATTGAAGTCTATCATAATTAATTTCTCATCCTATTCATAAACTCACTTTTATGTATTCAGAAAATATTCTTATGTATGCTTGATTTTATAAGAGTAATTTAAAGCAGCTCCCTAAATTGTATAAAAGTTCCAGGCCCCTCAGGAATTGTCTGGTCACCCAGGTCCCTACTGTTCAGGGCCAGATTAAATCATGTGCATTTTCATTCTATTTTATAAGTACTTTTCTTTTTACAACCCCAAAACATATTTGGTACAAATAGAACCAAATGATTTTCCACTGAGAGTAGAGAGTTGACTTTTTTGTACTTCCTCGTGATCTTTTCAAAAAGTGGGCCATTAAAATAGTCTTACCCAGAGCAGAATATGTGGGCAGCTTTCTGAGAAGTATGTGATGGCTCAACTAGGCTGGAGCTGGTAAGAAGTGAGCAATTCTGTTGAGCAGAAAACCAACAGTTCCTGTAATACTTCTTTTCTGCTTTGTGATCTGTCTACTTTTTGGTCCCTTCACCATGTAATTTGGTCATGTTGTCCATAGATAACATAGAGAAATAAAAATGAGTCTTTGGAGCATGGGTGATCAAAATTTGCTATTATTAGTATTTTAGAAAAGACTCAGTTTCACTGTTCTTCATTGGTAATGCATGTGAGTTATTTGAATTGTCAAATTTGCAGAAACCTCGCTCAAGTTTCTTTGATATGTGAGCCAGAATATTTCAGAGCATAAAAACTATGCAGCATAATTTTTATTCTGAAATAGTTATAGAACTGATAGTTCGGGGCATACATTGTGCATATTTCCCTGTGCTTCCATCTTGCATAATTGTACCATATCACACCAGGAGCTGAAGTGGGTTCGTGTGTGTGTGTGTGTGTGTGTGTGTGTGTGTGTGTGTGTGTGTGTGTGTGTGTTTCTATACCATTTTATTACATATAGGGTTTTTTTTGCAAGCACCTCTGTGTTCAAGGTAAAGAATTGATCCAACAGAAAGATGTCTTTAGCTCCATCCTTTATCACACTTACCTTCTATACTCACCAGTCCCTTCTCCAGCAGCCTCGAATTTGTTTTGCATCTCTATAATTTTGTCATTTTTATAATTAAGGAGCTCAGATCATATAGCATATGATCTTTTGAGATTGGCTTTTTCTTCCATTCAACACAGTGCCTTGGAGATCCACATAGACCATTGTACATGTCAGTAGTCTCTCTGTTCCTTTTTATTTCTGGATAATACTCCATGACATGAATGTATCAGGGTTTGTTTAACCATTCACACCTTGAAGAACATTTGGCTAGTTTCCAGTTTATGACTATTATAAATAAAGTTACTGTCAACATTTCTGGGTAAGTTTTTATATCAGTGTAGGCTTCCATATATCTAAGATACATATCCAGGACTATGCTTGCCAGATGAGATAGTAAATGAGTATTTAATTTTCTAAGGAACTGCTTAACAGTTTTCCAGAGTGGCTGTGTTAGTGGCATGTGAGGACCTGCTTTTCTGGTATCCTCAGTAGTGCTTGCTGCTTTGCATTCTCTAGCCATTCTAATAGGTGTGTGGTGCTGTTTCACCCTGATCTTAATTTGCATCTCTTTTTGTGGCTAATGATGCTGAATATCTCTTCATGTGCTTATCTGTTACTTACATCCTTTTCTTTCATGACTGTCTATTCGAGTCTTTTGTTTTGGTTTATAATTGGAGTTATTTGTTGTTATTGATTTTTGAAATGTTTTTATTCTAGATACTAATGTTTTGAAAGATAACATGGTTTGTAAGTATTTTCTCACTTTCTTGTAGCTTGGTCTTGAAGTATTTTTGGTAGGGTCTTTCATAGATCAGAAGTCATAATTTGAAGAG